ATGCTTCCAGCATACTTTAATGACAAGCACATTGACGATTAATGAAATAAAACACACAGCCACATGAATTGATGACGAGATATGCTGTGGTTGGAAAGCGATGTAGGCGGCAGCATCAGTGCAGTTGTCGTCCATCCAGTGTGAACACTGGAACAGTGGGCTCGGTTGAGCAGAAGGTACATTTTGTGATTGCCCATGAGCAGGTTAATGAGCTCAGCAGTGAAATAGATGTGCAGTAAAACGTCGATCAATACTAAAATGAGCAATTAAAACTGCCAGAAACTCTTGAAGGCAAAGTCCGGGATTTTGAAATTAAGGCTTTCCCAGCGAAATAAGCAGTAGCACGCAAGTGGGAAGCATGTAGACAACTTTTCGAGGTAGATAAACAAGGCCGAAGGGCTAAACTCCTAGGATGCAGCATTGGCTCCGCCCAACACTATTGAGCCCGTCCACAAATCAGTGCTATTCCGCTTTGCTGCTACTAGGGACCGAGGCTTTATTTTGATCCTTTTCGACAGCTTCTTTCCGCTTTTTCATTACTGGCGTTACATTTTACTTCTGCACTGTTACTGGCAAGCGCAACTACATTAATCCAATCAAGGACTTCGTCTTTAAAAGCACGCTGATGAGCGCAAACAGCGCCCTACTCTTCGGTCGGCTCCTCTCCTCTTGTATCGGTATAGTCAGATGTCGCGACACGGGTGCCTGCGAGGTGAGGTGGAGCTAATCACTGCGGACACGGCAGAGGAGGGTACATATATATTTTATGGGCCCACTCCCTGTCCAGGGTTTGCGGCGTGTATAGAATGCTCTGACGGCCTGGTAAGGCCCTCTCTCCGGTTCAAAGAGCTCATGACTACAGGCTAATAAAGATATGTGTATATTGCTACAAAACAGAATAAAGATATGTGTATATTGTAAATATTAAGGTGCTTAATGACACATAACCAGATACATGACTACAATAAAGAGATTGCGATTGTGAAGAGGAAGAGAAAAGTACCTACGGGCTCCACCGTTGAGGAAGACAGGTAAGGCACAGGAGCCAAAGTGGTATGCATTCGATCCGCCATGCCGATGATGGTGTTATAGACGGTCGACTTGGGATTAAAGACGTCTGTGAAAAGACCGTAACACGACAGGACGATAGACTCGCTGGTAGACGGGCGCGAGCTGAGGAGAGAGCGCAGAGTAGCTTCCCGCGTATCTGACGGTTACCTGCATTCAAAACGGGAAAGCTGCCTCTGTCTCAGGGAAAGTGTTGTCTCTCGCGTCCGAAAC